TTATATATAATTCTTCAAGAAATTCTCAACAGATTGGAAAATTTTAAAATCTTAATATGATAGAGCAATATAACATTTCAAGAGATTAAAGTATCCAAAAAATTTCAATGAATCCAGAAAACAAGGTAAGTTTGAAACACTCAGTGATGCTGTTATCTTTTTTTTTGTCATGTCTTATTCTTCTTAAGTTATTTCTTCTCAGACTCAAACTTATCGATAACTATATTAATTGATATATGCCTTGCTTTTTTTTTCTATGATTGGTATATATAAAAATGTTAGCTTCAATTAAAGTTATTTAATAACAAAAAAAAAATAAAAGTCTAAAAGACTTTATCACAGCTTTCACCAAAAAAAAAAGACAAAAAGCAAAAGCAAGCCAACGAAGACAAACGACCAAAGGGCCAAACAACAAGAGGACCCAAGGACGGACCAAGCAAGCCAACAAACGAACAAACGAAAAACAACAACAAAAAAAACAAAAGAAAAAAAAACAAAAGCAAATTAAATATTGTCAATATCAAATTGAGTATAATCAGGATGATCAGCTGGTTGTTGTTGAATTGTAGTTGGTGCTGGAGGAGCAGGTGGAGCAGGAGGAGGAGGAAAAACAACACCAAGGGACGAGAACGAAAACGTATTGACAGTGATGGGGCTGAAACAAAAAAATAAAATACGGTATAATTAGATATATTTAATCAAAAATTTGTTTACCTGGTACTCGTTACCACGACCACACCACTAACACCACCTTGTAACGAGCCAGCCCCAAAGACGACCCGATATTGTTGTTGTAGTTGTCGTTGTAGTTGTTGTCGTAGAAGACGACGACGACGACGAACTTGATTACGTATCACGCTCGAATAAAATATGACTTAAAGATTAACAAAATATCAAATGAACAGAAATGATTCAAATTATCTTTAGTTGTTGATTTGCTGTGAAAACAGAAACAAATAGATATTCAAATGCCCGACAATGAATGCTAAATGTTTTCGTAAGAAATTTCCCTACACGATAAGCAACCGTGTAATAATAAGCTAAAAATTACAAGACAATTTGAAATGATATCATTCCTCGACAAAACAAAAACAATTTAATTAATAATTAATGAAATATATCATCATTCAATGAGTAAAATAAATTAGAATAAATGTACAAGTCATTGTATTTAATTCGAAACTATTTCCTCGTCTCTAGTTTGCAGAGTGAATATATCGTCTATCTTATTCATTTTTGTCTCATAAAATAGTAATTTTCAATTCTTATTTACTGTAAATATAAAAGAAGATGGAACTGGTACATGGCTATTTCAGATTATAATTCATAGGAAAAATATGTCAAATATATGGACACGGAATTATCGATTGGCTATCTCCTTCTATATATACAAAGAGGAGAAATGAACTGTTACGTATAAATGTACTTGCAAATTATAGAATCTTCTAATTAAAAATAATTCATTTTGTAAAATTTTCGAAATTCGAAAGAATAACACAATATAAAGCAACAACAACCTGTTTTCTTCTTTGCAGATATTTTTATTAAAACTTTCTATTCTATCCATATTCAAGTAATCTCTCATATTTCCATAAGAAATATATAATTTGCAACGAAAACCATTTCTAATTAATATATGCCAAGTTCTATTTTGGATCGGCAATTTTTTTTCTTGATTCTCTGTATTTTTTATTTGTTATTTCTTTTGATGAAACTTAAGAAAGATTCTCATTTCGATTCTCAATAATCTATATGTTTTGATTTTCTTTTTTTTTAAGGTAAAGATAAATATTTGACTAGGTTTCAGTTTTTATTATTTACAAAGAAGAAAAAAAAAGCAAAGCTGTACAAACTACAAAACAAAAAGAACGAACACAAGGAAAAGCACCAAAAAAACAAAGCCACCAAAAAGACGAGACCACCAAAACAATAAATCGACCATCATGGCCACCATCATTTCGATTCTTGTTAATCTACAATTAAAAAAAAAGAATAATGAGAACTTGTTAATTTTTTAAATACAATTGACTTACGTTTGTGTTTGAACTGGAGCAGGAGGAGGAGGAGGAGGATTGTTGTTGAGGATGATAATGATGAGGATATGTTGTTGTATAATAATAGGTTGTTGTTGTTGTTGTAGTCGTCGATGTTGTTGACGATAATGATGAGGACGATGACCTGAATTAAAATTTATAGAAATTAATTCAATAATATTCAATAACTTACGACGAAAAGGAACAGGAAACATTGAGGATGAAGATAAAGAGGAGAACGACGTTGCTGAACTTGAAAAATAAATGTAATGTATTCACGAGAAATCACGTCTATTTATACTTACGGAAGATGGAAATTCGTTAAGCCAGGGTTCAAAAAAAAAGATAATCACTGGAACATAGAACGAAAGAAAAAAAGCGGGTATTTTGAAAGTAACCAATGTGAAAAATGTAGCAATAGAGGGCGTTCATGTACAGTCATCTTTGAACATATTTCTGTAAATCACATCCACTGAACTATTTTTTTTTCTTAAAAAAATCACATTTTGATATATTTTGATTTGAAAACCATGAAAAAGTAAAAATATCACTGATTTTTTCACTTTCATACACATTTTTTAACGCTATCGTTTTCTAAAATATTTTCCGTGGAAACCCTATATTGTATAATCTTTATTAGCAAAATTAATTTGTTTTTCTTATACAATTGATATTTTGAATATATTGCATTAAGAAAGAAAATACAACAATAAGATCAATTCGATCTAATATTCGTTTGTATTTTTTTCTATACAATGAAGATTCCTGAAACTAATAAATGTAATTAAATTAAATATCCAGGGTCTTTTATTTGGAGGGTACGGCTCGAATATAACCCAAATTATATATACGATAGTTAGTCATAGAATGAAAAAAAAATTAGATGGATAGCTGTCAGTATGAGAAAGTAGTAAGGTTAACCTCGATTAATCGAAAGGTCAACAGACAGTCGAACTAGAAGAAGAGAACGAAAAATAGGAAACATATAAATAGCTGTGATTTTATATTAATTCATTTATTCATAAAATTTCAATTATCTTATAACATACAGCACAGTAAGTAAATATCAGTTATACTTTCAGAGTAAAACACCACCATCTATTTCATCCGATCATTTAGTTAAATTTAGTTGAACGTTCCTTGAATTAGTCCATAACAACATGAATTTCTTTTTTTTTTAGTTATGTCAAGCAATAAGTCTCTTTCTAATCAATCCTCGTCAACATCAAATGATAATGAATTTAATTATCATATTACTAATGATATAACAATAAAAATTAATGATATAATTCGTAATGATAATTATCATTTATTTTTCGATATTAATTTATCATATGATCAACTTATGTTTCTTCTTAATAATCGTTCTTCAATAGAAAGTGGTCTTATTGATTTTATAATTGATCAAATTCATCAATTAATTCCCAATGAAAATATTCGAGAAGTCTTTTTATCAAATATTAATCGTTTTGCTGGTCATCTTCATATTGTTGGTAGTGATACACAAGTTATTCGTCAACCAGCTTTTTATCCTGATGACGAAGATGATGATGACTATGATGAAGAAACAATAACTGATGATGATTCAATACTTGATGATAGTTTTGACGATGTTGAAAATGCTTTGCTCGATGAACTCGATTTCGAACATTTTGTTGCTGTTTCTCGTTATTCTCCAGCAGGCTGATGTTGAAGAAAACGATTAGAATATAGTTTTTTTTTGTTGTTTTTGTTTTTTTTCTTAGTTTTTTTCATATGAATAAATACTTATAGTGAATTTGAAGTGCAAGAAAAAAAAATTTATATAATTTTCATTAACGTATTTCGCGAGACAGGTGCTAAAATGATAGCTTAAATTTATCTTTGCATGAGTTCTCAAATGAATTGAGTTAGATTTATAAAGGGTTTTATAAGTTTATGAAAATAATTTTCCTAAGTAGACGATGTTTATTTCGAATTCATTTCAAAACCTTTCAATTGGATCAATCTTCGGTACATAAAGAATCTATTATTGTGCATTGTTTTATTGTCTTGTTTTTTTTTTATTTGTTTTAATTTGAATATGAAATAGGATTCAAACTTCTTCTACACTTCTTAGAATTTTTCAGAAAGTATTCCACGGTTCTTTTTTCTTTCTTAGACCTGTTATTCTTTTCAGTACCAAGAAATCTAAATCAATCCTATCTAGCTCAATTTTTATTTAAATTATACTCGGACATATCGAATAACTGTTCAGCTCCTATTACAGAAATAGTCAAAGCATTTTTAATATGTTATAGTAAGATTCTTTCTTGAGATATTGATATTTTTGAAGCGTTTATTTGAATAAATCGGTTTAGATAATATTCCAATCAAAATGATAATTTTTTTTGCGAATATTGCTCGCGTCTGTACTGAATTAAAAATTATTAAATATATTAAAAAAAAAATTAATTTTTGTTGAGCTAGAAATGCAATGACAATGAAACTATTTATGACATTATAGATGTTTCGTCTTTTTTTTTCTAATTTAATTTTTCATACGAATGAAATACAAAATAACAATACGTTTTTTCAAAGATGCTTATATATCAATACAAGGAAAAAAATATGACATAATGCATTTTAAGTTGTCATAAAAATGAAAAAAATATTCAGGATGACTATGGGAAAATGATTTTGAATGTTTACTCGTTACTTTTGAGAAAAAAATATTTACTTTCATGTGTAGATCTTATNTAAGAATAAAACATTTTTTCTTATTTTAAACAAAATAAAACTAATTAAAACTCGACACACACAACAACAAGTTGCTTCTTGTATGAAAATGTTTTTAGTAAAACATTGTCTTCTACCCATATTGGGATAAACTCTCAAATTTCAAAAAGAAATATACAATTGGCAACTAAAATCATTTGTAATTAATACGTGCCGAGCTATATTATATAACGGCAATTTTTTTTCTTAATTTTTCGGTATTTTTTATTCATTATTTCTTTTGAAGAAACTTAAGAAAGATTCTCATTTCTATTCTCAAGAATCTATAAATCTGTTTTTTTTCTATTTTTTTAACAAAAGATAAAGATTTGACTAGGTTTCACATTTTATTATTTACAAAGAAAAAAAAGCAAAGCTGTACATATTTACAAAACAAAAACAACGAAAACAAGGAAAAGCACCAAAAAAACAAAGCCAACAAAAAGGCGAAACCACCAAAACAATAAATCGGCCATCATCGCCACCATCATTTCAATACGGGATAATCTATAGAAAAAAAAAAAGAAATTTATGAGAACTTATTAATTTTTTATATACAATTTACTTACGCTTCAGGTACAACAGGAGAAGGAGGAGGAGGAGGAGGAGGATTGAAGTTGAGGGCAACAACGATAAGGATATGATGTTGGATAATAATAGGTTGTTGTTGTAGTCGTCGATGTTGTTGACGATAATGATGGTGACGATGACCTGAATTAATATTCATAGAAATTTATTTAATTATTTAATTTAACTTACGGCGAAAAGGAACAGGAAACATAATTAATAATAATTATAATAATAATAATAACAGTGAGGAGGAGAAGGACGTTTGGTAAGTTGGAAAATAAATGTAATGTATTCACGAAAAATCACGTCTCTTTATATTTACGGGAGAGGAAAAATCGTTAAGAAAAAAAGCGGGTATTTCTTAAGTAACCAATGTGAAAATAATGTCAAAAGAGGGCGCTCATATACAGACATATGGGAACTTTTTTTTTCCTTTTTTTTTAACAATCATATTTCACTTATTTTAAATAAAATCTTTAATGCTGCCGTTTTTTGAAATATTTTTAGTGAAAATCGTATATTTTATAATCTCAATTTCTTAAATTTTATTAACATAATTATTTTGTTTTTTTTATGCCATTGATATTATAAAGATTTTACAAAAAAAAAAGAAAAAAAAAGACAAAAATAATATCAATTCGATCGTATATTCATTTATATTTTTTTTTTCTTTGCAACAAAAATTCTTTATGTTGTATCTATATAAATGAACAAACAAAGAATTTCAAGAGAAGAATAATGATTTGTGAAAATATTACATGTAATTAAATTACATATCCAGGGCCTTTTATTTCGTGGTTACGCCTTGAATACGACCCAAATTATATATACGATAGTTAGTCATACAATAAAAAAAAAAAAGAATTATATAGATAGCGGTAAGCATGCGAAAGTAGTAAGGTTAACCTCGATTAATCGAAAGGTCACCAGACAGTCGAACTAGAAAGAGAGAACGAAAAATAGGAAACATATAAATAGCTGTGATTTTCTATTTATTCAAAACATTTCAAATAACTTATTTCATACAGCACAGTAAGTAAATATCACTTGTACTTTTTACAGTAAAATGCAACCAAATCGTTAAGTTGAATTTACTTAAAAGTTTCTTGAATTAGTGCATCACAACATGAATTTCTCTTTTTTTTTTATTTAGTTATGTCTAATAACAAGTCACCATCTAATCAAAATTCGTCAATACCAAATGATAATGAATTTAATTATCAAATAACTAATGATTTATCAATAAAAATTAATGATATTATTCGGAACAACAATTATCGTTTATTTTTTGATGAAAACTTATCATATGATCAACTTATGTTTCTTCTTAACAATCGTTCTTCAATTGAAAGTGGTCTTATTGATTTTATAATTGAACAAATTCATCAATTAATTCCCGATGAAAATATTCGACAAGTCTTTTTAACAAATATAAATCGTTTTGCTGGTCATCTTCATATGGTTAATAGTGATACACAAGTTATTCGTCACCTAGTTTTTTATCCTGATGACGAAGATGATGATTATGATGAAGAAACAACAAGTGATGATGATTCAATGTTCGATGATATTTTGGACGATATTGAAAATGAGTTGCTCGATGAGCTCGAATTCGAGCATTTTGTTGTTGTTTCTCGTTATTGTCCAGGAGGCTGATGTTGGAGAAAACGAGAAACATATATCTTTTTTTGCATTGTTTCTTTTTTTGTTGATTTTTTATACATATGAATAAAAACTTATAGTAAATTTGAAGTACAAGAAAAAAAATTTATATTACTTTAATTATCCTAGAAGACGAGCCGGGTGCTAAAATCATAGCCTTAATTTATCTTTCCATCGGTTATGAAATGAATTGATTTATGCTTAAACAGTATTTTACAGATTTATTAAAAATAAATATGTATGAGATATATTTTTTTCACGAATCTTCGGGATTTCCTTTTATTTTTATTGTGGAATGAATTAATGTATAAAGACCTTTTGTATTCGTTAGAATTTATTAATGAAACTAACTTCCTTTTGAAACTTCTTCCGTTGTTTTTATGAGTTAGTTACTTTTCATTACATGAACAAACTGTTACGGGGCATTCTCTTACTGCCTTGTATTTTTTTTTCATCTTTTTTATGGAGCTGTTATATTTTTTAAAAAGATTAGAAGTAAATCAATGATGTCCAGCTTCCTTCTTATTTAAATTATACTGGGACATGTTTAATACCTGTACAGCTACTATTATCCAAATAGTCAAAGCATATTATTTGTATGGTTTACTGAGATTCTCTCTGTAATATTAAGATTTTTGAAGCATTTGTTGTAATATATCAGTGAATTAAATATTCCAATAAAATTCATAAATTTTTTTGCAACTATTACCTGTATCTGTACCACATAAAAAACAATTAAATTTAAAAAAAAAATAATGTTTGTTAAGCGAGAAATGCAATGATAATGAAACTATTTATTATATTATAGATGTTTGTCTCATTTATTTCTAATTTCATTTTTCATACATGTTTATGTGTGAATAATACAAAAAAGAAAAAGATCATGCAATGCGTTTTAACTGATCATGAGTATGAAAAAAATATTATGGATGTTTATACTAAAAAGATTTAATGTCTTTATTCGTTAAGTTTAAGGGAAAAATATTTAATTTCAAGTTTTGATCTTATTAAATTTTTGTGATATTACCACGTATATTACCGAAATGTATATTGTCGTCTCCTTTAGTCCCAAGTTTCCAATTTTTCTTACATCTTTTTTTTTGTTAGAAATATATCGTAATTATCTTTACTTTCGAGAGAAATATTTTAATAACAATTAAATTCATTTGCAGGTTATTTTACTTCTTAGTATTCTTTCCTTTTTCTTTCATATTTCGATATCTGTTTTCATGCAAACTGTGATCAAAGTAAAGAATAAACTAGCTGTATATCGACTTTAATTAAAAAAAAGTGACTAAAATTACAACTTAATATCAACAACAAAAACAACAAAAAAAAAAAAACAAAAAATAAAAAACAATAGAAAAAAAAAATAAAAAGAATACAAAAAATTATTTAATATTGTCAATTAAAAATTGACTATAATCATGACACTCTTCTGTGTCATGCTTCACCACCACCCTACCAGCACCACCAACACCACCACCAACACTATCAGCATGTTGAAGCTGACCACCAACACCACAAGGAACCGGTGAAATATTCACCGGAACTGGTGATACTATTTGTACCACCATCGGACTAGAAAAAAAAAAAAAGAAAAGAAAATTATTTTTTTTTATTCTATAAATGTGTTCAATTTACCTAGCCGAGGTGATACAAAACGACAACGAAACGCCTCTCACTGGTACAACAATTCGTTGTTGATAAACTTGTTGCTGTTGTTGTTGTTGTTCTTGTGGTGGTGGTGGTGGTGTTGGCTGTTGTCGACGATTTTTTTGATTTCGTCGACCTGCATTTGTAATGAAAAATAAAGATATGATAAAAAAATTTGAAATAACAAACCTTTTTTAGATAAACGTTTCATTTTGTAGAAGGTGAACTAAAAGATGAACCAGATAGAAATGGGGAAAATATTTGTGAAACAATTCTATTTGTAGTGGTAGACGAGGAGAACGAAGAAATAAGGCCGCCACCCATGTAACCAATCATAAAATATGATCATGAGAGGGCGCTGTTTTATGGAGATAATATACTCGTGAAAGTTTGTAATGGAAACAGAATTAGTGAAGAAAAAAAAAATATGTATGAAATCAAAGAATGTTTCAAAAAACATTCGCTTTATTTCTTTCAAATAACAAAAAAAAAACTTTCACAATAACAAAAAAAGAAGAAAAAAATTCTTAAACAAAAAAAACAAATCTATGGAAGATGTTCGAAACTATCTGTTTCCCACATTCCCGTACTTAACAAAAAATTTCTAAGTGATGGTGGTGGTGGTGTTGAAAGATCAATACGTGGTGGATTGAGTGGTATATTTGGTTCTGCTGTTGTTAATGAATGAACTGGAGATGATGGTGACGAGACAGTGTCTGTTGTTAAACCAAACACAGACGGGTCCAATACAATTTTTGTATCAATGGGCCTAAAAGATTCACATACTATAGAAAATATATGAAAAAAAAAGACAGTCATTTTTTATGTCAATTTCTTTCTCATTATGTTTAGAATTCGACACACATAGATACATACCCTTCGGACTTGATTGAAATTTCTATATTTGATGTTGCCATATCTTTGGAAATCTCAATTTTTTGAGAAATTTTTCGTTCACGTCGCTGATGACGGTGAGAAGATCGTTGACGATAATGTTGTTGTTTATGACCTATAAATATAGAAATCAAAAATGTGTTATTTATCTTTTTTTTTTGTTACTTGGCATATCGAAGAATTACTTCTTTATGAAATAATTGAACTGTATATTGGTGCAGGTGGTTGACACAGACTGTTTGGATGTGATTAGTGTTTGTGATTGTTAATAAATGACTGTAATTCTATTTTTGCAGAACTATTTATAGTCGGAACATGTTATCTGAAATAGTGAACTAGGACATTCCACTTCATCGAGTGTGTCTTTTGTTATTTTCATGTAACAGTATCATATAACATGTGGGACAGAGACAATACGTTAAATATATCCATATCGATTTATAAAATTTTATCATACGAATATGTCCTTCGACAGACCTATAGGATGTTGTTTTGAACTTTAAACTATACATATCAAACCCTGGATAATAATTTATGTCTTGTAATGACTTGGAAAGAGATGCAGACAAATTTCGAATAAAAAAAAAAAAGAAAAAAAAAAAAGAATTTCCAATATAAAATGTAAACTCAATTTCACATAAATAAAAAAAATTCTAAACAACAAATTTTTTTAAAAAAATGCTTTGAAATTAATAAGAATATATATTCTTTTAATATTCATTTGAAAAAAATTTTTTTATTTAAAATGAACTTTTCCATGATGTGTAGAATGTTCTAGAATATTCTTAGAATTAAACAGTTTAATGACCTTTCACCTCAGATAGACGTTATATTAGAAGAATTAATTATTTTCGTTTAGCGCACATGATTTTCGAGGCAACATAGTGAAACGAAAAATGTCAAAGTAAAGGATATTTCGCCGAAAGAGAAATGACCGGAAAATTATTTAGATATTTATCCTTAGATTTATCCCGGACTATAAATACTACGAAAAGTTCATTTTCATTTCATTTTATTCGAATTACAACTTCGTGGTAAGATTGTATTTAGATATCTGTTTATTTAAATCTAGTTCACTTTATTTTACATTTAGAATAGTGTCTTCTTTTATTCATACTTTGCGGCTTATACCGATGACCGCTATTAACATTCTAGCAAAATATTTTTATATTCGAACTGTTTTCAATTTGTTTTATATCCTTCTATATAGATTTACTTTACAAGATTCATTATTATAATCGAAAATGTTTAGTAATTCATGGAACTGTGAAACTTGCAATTGCTTATACAAAGATAATAATGATATATTCATGGACTACAATTTAAATGACGAAAGTAAATTTTTTTTTGTGCAAATAAATTGAGTGCCTACTTACTGATATTTTCTTTTATTCAAGATGTTTTCAATCATGAAACACTTTCCATACCTGATGAATTCATTTCGTATAATTTGTTGGAAACAAACGATTTTTTTAATGAAGATCAAGATGCAGCTTCGAAAGAAAAATATAAACTAGTAAGTTAATTACAATACGAAAATATTTTTTGTTTATAAAAAATTACATATTTGCATTCTTTTTTATTCTAGGAAAATCTTAACGATGCTGATCAAGAAATTAGTACAAGTCGAACTATGTTATTTAACTCGGACAATATTGAACTTCCCCTTTCAATTATAAATCTCATTGACGATTTTCCAAATTTACCAACACCACAATCATTTTCAAATTTATTTCAAGAAGTTTTTCCTACTATTGATATAAGTGGTAAGAAAAAAAAAAGTTCAAATATTTTCTACAATTTTTTTAAAAATTATTTCATAGAAACGACAACAGATACAACAGCTGTCGATGAAAGTAATTATTTTTTTTTCACTTTTATCTACAGTTTATTTATGTTTTCATTGAGGTACAACAAAATATGATGTCGATCAGTCACATCTAGATGTGGCATGTACAAATGAAACATCACGTCAATCGCAAGTCACCATCGTCATGTTGCCATTTCAAATTTCAACATTAATCAATACTCATTCGTATCCACCTACAAATATGGTCGGTCCAATTAGTGAACATGATCGACCTTATTCGAAATATGGACATTTAGGTAAGTAACGAGATGTATTCATGGAATTTTCTTTCATCTTTTTTTTCTTCTTATCAATATTCGAGATGCCAATACATTGCATTACCGATTTCGTTTCGATATTTCTGGTGATCGAACATTAAGCAAGCGGCTAGCAGACAAATGTCGTATTACAAGAAAAATGTATGCAATCATTTGTCGCACAAATATCAGTAGTAAGAAAGAAATTTTTTCACTGTATAAAAAAAAATGTGATGAAATTTTTTTTTGTTATTTTAACTACAACAGAAGAGGATATTATTATGGAACTATTTCGGCAACATCCTTTGGCAATAATACAATATATTTGTATATCATCGAATGATGGTCAAAATACACCAAGAACAACAACAACAACAGCAAACATCCGGTCCACTTATTATATACAAATCATTTTCAAAAAAGTTTTAAACAAGAAGATATGGTTTTTAGATACAGTCACTGGTAAGATAATTTATTTATGATAGAAATTTTTTTTTATCATTAATTATAGGTGACGAATGCAATTATCATGTAACGAGAAATGACATGGCATGGAACGAATTTGTCAAAAAAAGTAATTCTCTACTCAATTGAAACCTGCACATGTTTATACATGTTTTTCTTTTTTTTTTTCTTTCTAGATCGTAATTTTATAGAAATTGGCGAATTTCTATCAAATAAAATTCGTTCACGGCCTGGAGTGTGGTCTTCTTGTGAATTTACTCGTTCCCAAAAAACCAAAAGAAGAAAATAGTCACTCCTGAATAGTAAAAAAAACAGTTTTTGTTTTTGTTTTCTGTTTTTTTTATTGTTATTTTTTTCTTCTATTGTTTATATATTTTGTTTTTGTTACATGTTACTGATATTTTTTGAATAAATAAGTAATCCCAATTATGGGAGACGATGAATTTCAAGTATTACAATTGATTTTTCAACATAAACCATATGTGAATATAAGTCAATATAAATGTGAACATAAATTTCTTGAATCAAAACAAGGTTTTCAAATTTCTGAGAACGATATATAAATATCAAATAAAATGAACTCATATATTTTCTAAAAAATCGCTTATTGAATTCTTTACTTAAACGATTGAGTAGAAAAAAAAATTACTTTTTCAACATATTGTTGCATTTGTTAAAACTTATAAAAATTTATTAAAAGTTTGATTTATTTTGACAAATTTCTTGAGAAAAAAAATTGAGAATAAAAGAAGAAACTTATTAACGTACACAAAATATTCGAAAAAAAACATATATTTCATTCAAATATTATCATTTTCAAAAAAATTAGTGAAAAAAAAATTATTTTTAAAATTTTTCTTCAAGTTTTTTTCACATAAATACAGAACATATATATTTGTTTGAATTATACTTATCTATTTTATTTGTTATAGTGTAGGCTTTCTAGTGAGTTTCAAAAAAGGAAAAAATTAGGACGTCTTTTTTTTTTCATTATATTGTAATATATATTTCATATTGCCTGTCCTTTTATTATGTGATATATATGATGACGCCGTGGTCTGTCCTTGGACATAGTCATGTGTATATTTCCGCCGTGACCTGTCCCAGTATAGACTGATATCGATGATGACACCGTCGTATGTCCTTATACAACGTTATATAGATGAATTCGCCTTGGACTGCTCTCTTATCGTCTGTTCAGTATTAGGACATACCACGGCGTATAGCGCTTTAGTATATAAAGGCTTGTTTTCTGATAATCATTTCATTTCATCGATTATTAAATCAAGAAACAATATCCATCTTCTTACTGCAACAACTACAACACAGTCATCCAAAATTGTATTATACAAATCAGGTCAGTTCTACATTTAGTAATGCTATCTATAGTTAAATTAGAAAAATCGGTTCATTTATAAAATCGACCTCTTGTTTCTCTTTTGTTTTCTAGCTTCTTCAATTTCAACCCTTTTTTTTGTATTGAACAATGGAAAGAAAACGAATGCCCGACGATCATATGAATGAAAGAAAATTAATTCGATCGTCTACAATGTATACGGTAATTTTTTTTCTCTTCTCATTGAACATTCCAATATATATATATATACAATGTTTTTTTTTCTAATGTTTCATTGATATAGTCAGCAAAAGACAACGATGTTATTGAGACGATGGAAATTGTTGACTTATGTACACCAACAGTTGTCATCGACCAAACATCTACTGCTGTTGAAATGAAACAACGATTTTTAAATCTTGATCGACGATTATGTATTTTGCCATGCTATCCAACTTATAATGCTAAACGAGATGAAGGTCAACCATTATTAGCTAATATTCCACGTATGTAAATAGATTTTCTTTTTAAAAAATTATTTTCTATACAGATTATAATTATTATAGAATATCAATTAACTTCAACGGAATTATCATGTCGACGTTCGGGTGCTTTTAAACCAGCCTGTACGATTGTGAATAGTCAATCAAATATGCCATCATTTTTAAGAGAAAAATTCAATATGTTTTTTGGTGATTTACTTGAACGATTAAAAGTTGATTTATCTATTTTGGATTACAACTATACACGTCTTAATAAATTTATGAAAATGTTAGCTTATGAACAAATACGTGCTTTTAATTTACAACCAAATGCAATACCTGAAATCGAAGAAAAAGAATATCCAGTTGTATTAGAATTTTTTTTACAATTTGATGGTGATTATATTTTTTTTTTATATTATTCTAGTATATATTTTATGCATATCTTTTTAGTGAATATGTTCTATATGAAAACATGTTCATTTCGTTATGCTCGACCACGTACATTAAATGAAGGTCTTTTTTGTGTACAAGAACCAGAAGCTCGATATGAATTGGCCGCCTGTGGAAATTGTGCACTCTGTTATCCACAATATGATATGACCTATCGAACAAAAAAATCAGTCGTTGAATTTAGTCGCGCACATAAACATACTTTTCTTAATGGATATCAAGCTATACTCAATTGTTCAGCAGTAAGAATTCAATTCAAATATTTTTTTTATAATTTTTTTTTCATTTAGTCATGTCATACATCGAATATTATCTATGCCTTAACTTGTTCATGTGGTAAATTCGAATATATTGGTACAACTGCCAATACTTTACATGATCGTTTAATAAGTATAGAAATTTTGTTTTTTTTTTTCGTCCACTATTTTTTTTTTATTAGAACATCGTGAACATGGAAATCGGATTATGCATGAATTTTTAATAGGACAAACAAATATTCTACGAGAACTTACAAGAGGAAAACCGACCGAGTGAGTTCAATATAAAAATACTTTACATTTATGTGTTTTTTTTTTTAATATATTCTAGAATTTTAGTAAAAGATCGTATGAAACTCTATCAACATTCAGCAAGATGTCCAGCGGCCATGCAAATATTTCTCGATGCGAATCCACAATATTGGCGATTTGTTCCAATGACATTAGAAGAATCAGAAAGACCTGAACAACAACTAGTACAAACACTTGCGATTTCTGATGAACCGAGTCATCATGCACGAACAAGACGTGACTGTGAAATTTGTGTTGATGCTGTACCAAAACCATCGAAAGGATTCACCTTCTCAAAACGACAAATCATGTTACAAACACAATTTTTTCATAAGTTACAAGATAAAACATTGCCAAATCAAAATATTGATTTATACAATGCTACAATTGTTGCTGTTTGTAAGTATCTGAAAAAAGTTTTAAATATATTCATTTTTTTTCTTTATTCTAGTACCTGAAACTACGACTGATATGTTTCGTTATACCATTGAATCCTTATTTATCACATATGCTGAAACAAATCTGAATACAATTGGTAATGTTTTAAATGATCATCAAAATATGGAACAATATCCAATGAATGATCCTTGGTTTGTTCGAAGTAGTAATTGGTGTCAAGGATTATTACGTCGACCTCAACCAAAAAATACACAAGCAAAATAAAAAGTAGAAAACTTCCCTTGTTTTTTTTTTCCTTTCATTTATTTGCTTTTTCATATTTTTTTTTTTCTGTATTTCTTCTCAGTGATAGTTTGAAATTTGTAACATGAAAAAAATTTTATTATTTCTTTATTTTGAAATATAGGAGTAGATTTTTCTTTATGAATTCTAGATATTTATTTCACACGTGACTGATACTAATTCCTCACGAGATATACCTATGGATCTAGACGATGATAAAAAAATACAACAGCAAATGGTGAGAAATATTACACTATGATAGAGTCAATATATACATATTTTCTATTTTTTTTTATAGAAATATCGAGCAATGTTCGATTATTCATTGTCACAATCAAGTCATGAACAAAAAGCTGAATGGTCTTCGAAACGACTTGCTAAACTTCAAGAAAGACGACACATTAAAGATCCTGTCTTTTTGTTTCTTCATCCATCACATACAGTTCAATATGGAAATGTCAATAATATGACCAATTTTAAATCAAAATGAACTTGAAACTCGAGATTGTAGATTAGATATAGATTTTTTTTTCGAAAAGAGTCCTTGAGTGTTTATTATTTTCTAACAATTTGAATTCTTGAATTTTTTTTCTAGATATCGACGTCTATTTATAAATATGTCTTCATCACACAATCGTTCTTCAAGTACACGTTCATCTCGACCTACACAAACGGTGGCACCCTTAGATATTCAACGATCAGCTAGTGTTCCCAATCGTCAATTTATTTTCATACTTACCAATAATCCTGAATTATTACGACAAACTCGTCGATTTCAACCTCAAGTATGTAATTTAAGTTTTATCGATATAATTTCATTTATCTTAACGTGTTTTTTAGATACAACAAAATACACAAAGATCAGCAAGTGCTGCTCCAAATGGTAGATCCACAAATACTAATAGCAATAACAATAATCGTGAACAATTATTGGAAAATTTATTACGTGTCGAATTAAGAGGCGCTGCACATGATTATCTTACTCGAACCCGTCGAGCATATCCATTAAATTATGTTTTTGATATGTCCGATATTGATACAAACGAACAGCGAGAGTAACCATATCAATATGATTTCATTATTTTTGGATTTTTTTTTGTTTTGTTTCATTATTTTCAAAACACAGATGAAATTATTTTTTGAAAATTATTTGTTTTAGATTTATAAGAATTGATTATGGCTTCTTCGATGAATAGAGGTGGAAATCAAATGCATTCAACTAGTATTTCGGAAAATCAATATTTTCTGATTACTGTTACAAATTTTCCAAATCTTCTACATCGTACACAATCCTATCAACAAGTACCAAATAATGTAAAAGGATACGTCATTTTTTTCATATATTTTTATTATTTTTTTATTTAGGAATTACAACAACGAATTCGAGATGGAATGTTAGTTCCCAATGCAGCTATTCATTTTGGTAGAGCTCAAACAGAAGAACATGAATTATTATTATACAATACACTACGATTTGAATTAGAAGAATGCATTCGTGCATATCTTCAACGAACTCAACGACCATATCCAATTAACTTAGTGATTGATTTATCACAAATAGACCAACGACGTTGAGTGACTCGACTAAGCGATTGTTTTCAAGCTTATTTTGTTTCTGTTTTTTTTCTTTTTTTGAAACATTTGAATTTCCAGCATTTTTCTCATATGCATAACATTGAATTTTTTTTTCTATGTTCTAGATAATTTTTTTGTAATGGATATCAACTCAAAAGATCTAAACCGAATTCTGATGCATTTAATAACGAAAGATCCCATATCGAACCAGAATGATGATTTAAAAGTCGAACCAATGGAAGTTTCGAATAGTATGGAAAATGAAAAACTACAAGTGAATATTCCAACGACATATGCAGCTCATCTTGAACGTCAACAATATTGTTTTATTATATTCAATAATCCAAGATGGTCTCAAATTGTTAAAAATAAATCGTCCAATATACCGCGAGAAGTAATCCTTGTATTAATTTTTAAATGTAAATATGCTTTGTTTCTTTTTAGCACGCTGCAACGGTAAAACAAGAGCCAACACAAACAACATTCGACTGGCCAACACAAATGTTTGTTAAAAATGAAACATTTGATTTAACATTAGATGAACAATTCGTGGCTAAATTAAGACAACTCATTGATGAATACATGAAACATACAACACGGCCATTACCATTAAAATATTTTCTGGATCTTACAGAACAATGAACTCACTCAAAAACTATTATTTTCTTTTTGCTTAGATTTTTTTTTCTATATCTGTTATTTTTTTTTTGTGAAATTACATATGTTATAACTTGTGTGTAGCATTACATATCCCTGACTATATTTACCGTATCTTTTTTAGATTAAAAAAGAATCATCTATTTCAAAGAATTTACTGATGGCGAATACAACCACAACATCAACAAATACAATAACATTGTACAATGATACATTTGATGTGGTTGATGAGACCAATGATGGTTTACAATTTTCGGCTGATATTTTAAATCAATATTTCCTATCCGGTCAATTACAATCAACCATATATCAAGAGGAAAAAATCAACTATGAAATTCTCAATGATATGGATTCTATCGAAGTAACTCATCGAATAACATTTTGTATTTTTTTTTAATTATTCATTTTTTTTCTTAGATAATTCAAGATGAAGAAACCATTTTATCACAAAAATTAAGTCAATTATCGACAAAAAACAAACAAGAAATGGGTTTATCTTCGATGATCGATAAAAAACGACGGCATAGTTCTGCAACCAGTCCCTGTACAACATCAAAGAAAATTAAAACAGCTGAAGATAGCAGTGACGAAGACGACGATATCGATATTCAAGATACAAACCCGAAAGAGCAAATTCCAAATTATTTAACAATCAATCATCTCGCATTTGTTCGTATGAATGCGACTATTTTAAAACAGGCTCCATCGATTACTGTCACTGATCTACAAGAAATGGCTTTTTTCATGCATCAAATTGAAGCTATTCGTATGAAGAAAGTGATTACGAATATTTATTTAAAATCCGTCACTGGCACATTAACAGAACCAGAATTAGATTTAATTGAAGTTGATCGACGAGTATATCCAATGCAAGTTAAATCTTTACTTTTAGCAAAACAACCAAAAACAACTGCCATAACAACAACCACAACCACAACCATGGAAATGAATGAACCTGATCAACAGTCTGCTTGTGAAAAATTAATCCATCAACGTTTAGAAGAATTACAGGAAGAAATGCAATATTATGAAAAAAAGTTATTGGAAAAAAAAAATTCTTTAACTGGATATACATTAGATATGAATGAAACTCTACAAAAATTTGTTCAAGAATATGGAATTAAACCACTTGAATTAAAATATCAATTAAAAAAAACAATTGTAATACATGATTTTGAATTAGAAATTCTTGAAAGAAAATATAATGCAGAAAAACCAAATGAATATCAAGTAAAAAATAGTTTAAAAAATTTTTTTCTTTCTATAGTTCTTCTCATTTAGAATGAAATTGTAAAACGTCTATCAACCATGAGACGTCAAGTGGAAAAATCAAAACGAGCAATGATGGAATTAAAACAAGGTGTATTCTTTCATAAATCTTCCGTGTCATTTGATTCTATTCAATTGTCAACTTCGTCTCTTAATGATACAAACATAAATAATCAAGGAAAACAAAAAAAATTTCTTAATCAATATGAATATCAACTTCGATGTAAGAAACTTGATTTAATTGCTTTACATTTACCACAAGCAGAATTAACTTATTATCGATTTCAAGCTGAATTTGATACTGAATTAGCTTCGATGTGGAAAAATCATCGTAATTTTGTTAAAGATCAAGGAATGATACAATCACTCCTTAGTTTACTTGAAAAACGTCTTGCTAGTATTACCAATCGATGGAGAGATATATATAATTATCGAATTGATTATTATCTTCAAAATGCATATGATGAATTAGATCACAGTAATCCAGAAGAAATAACACAATATGTAAAAATTATGTCACCTTCATCCTCGATTATGATCGATGCACAACATCCATTGAATGAAAAACAACTACAATTATTAAGTCGTGGACCCAATTATGTACCACCTTGTTTCATGTATACAACATTATCTTATGAATCGATGGGTGATATTGTCAAAAAACAATATGCTCCATTCAAACATACACTCAATAACTTATTTTTAAAATATAAACTTAATTTAAATTTACAAATGGAAATTCATAAGAAAGTATACGATTTATTTCAAGATTTATTTTCCAAATCAATTCCATCGGATCTTTTTCAACGTGCACAGTATGAAAAAAAATTAATTGAATCCATTCGATTTTCTTTCCAGAAACATAATATTATTTTACGAAGAACTGCTGATAATATGAATATATTCTATATGGGAAATAGAGAAGAATTCGAAAAAAAAGCTGATCGATATTTATTAACCTCCGAAAATTACGATCTTCTATTTGATACTAATGATACCAATAGCGAAAAACCATTAAATATGGCTATCAAAGATATGATAGAATCCATGAATGCTTTATTAGAAAAATTAAAAATACATAAAGCCATTACTATGGATTTATATAAACAATTTATGGCTGATCCAACCAATATTAAAATACCATACTTATATTTTCTACCAAATATATCCAATGTAAAAAAGAAATCTATTGAAATACTTTTTTTTTCACTTTCTTATTTTTAAATTCATTTAGGAAAATGTGATGTCATTGGTACCGATTGTTACATCTCAATATAGTATAACATGGAAAATTGCTAAATATTTAAATAAATTATTACGACCCTATGCTGATGGAGTATTACGATCAACATCATTTTTTGATGAAAATGATTTTATTCGAAAATTATATCGTTATGCCAATGTGGATTGTCGTCTTCGTCCATCAACCATTTTTTGTTCTATTAAAATCACGAACTTTTATACATTAGATGAACATGAAGAAATGATAGATGTTATTGGATATTTTTTGCAAGATAATTTAGCAACAAACAAACTTGAACCACTGACAATTCAAACTATTCGAAATTTACTACATTTATTTCTTCATAATAATATTTTTTCATACAAGAATAGTATTTATAAATTCACTAAAGGTAGTCCAAACACAATACCATTAACGGAAACCTTATCCAATATTTATTTATTTATGTGGCAAAAGAAAATATTAAAAGAAGTCAATCAAAATATTGAATTATTTGGAAGGTACATAGATATTTTTTTTTAATTTAATACACGATTACTGTAATTCTTGTAGATACAAAGATCAAATATTTTTTACATGGAGTAAATCAACTGCTATAGCATTGGAAGCATTTATTGAAGATCTTCGAGAACAAAATGGAAATGTTCGTTTTCAAAAATTAATTGGTCCCAATGTTTCATTTCTCAATGCTTATATTGAAAATCGACAAGGTCAATTATATAGTCGAGTTCATCATGATTTTAATATGCCACGTTATATATTACCTTATGTTACCGGTCACACCAAATCATGTCATAGTGGTCACCTATTTTTATCTTTAATACGTGCTGTTTGTTATTGTACATCCGTAGATGATTTTCAACAAGAACGAATTTATTTAGAAATAACTTATCTTATTAATGGTTATTCACTCTTATTTCTTGAAACTCATGTCAAGCGGTTTTTTAATTATTTTGATTCTGAAACAATGCGTTTTTCATATAATCAAAATAGCTATCATAAATTTCGTCAACTATGGTTTCAATATGTTCAGCAACGACAAGAACAATCACAACAACTACAAAAATTTGATGATACTAATTGTTTATTTCAATTTGATTATATATATGATTTTGGTCCCAAATGTCGTTTTAATCGAGAATTTCGTCGCCTTTGGCACGATTACTTTCAACACCATCCAACTCTATCAGAAGATAATTGCCATATTATCCTCAATCCAAAGAATTTTCATTCTTTAAATTCATTATTAGGAATGGATAAACCATCTGTTAGTCTGTGAATATTTTTTTTTGTATTTGTAGTTCATCGTTTTTCATGTATCTATCTACCATATATATTTGTTTTTTTTTGTTTCTGTTAATTTTTTTTCCATTTGAAATGAAAACTGTTGTTATTTTTTTTTCTGTTTTAGATTTATTTCACTGTATAAATATCATGGTCGGAAACATGAACATCTGCTTGAAACTGTATCTTAGTGAATTTGAATAAAACACGATGAATACTGTGAAGATATATATTTATACATAGACACTATTCTATTTCATACTGTTTCCGATATAATATTTCGAATTTATTCGAATCTATTTTCTAGTTTCTTGTTTTAAAAATAAATCGTTTTTTTGTAACTGTTTTTTTTTTGTTCAAATTTTGTAGAAATATTTTCTTCACATCTACTTTCAACTCGAACAATGTCTAGTCAACTATCAGAAAGAAATTCAGGACGACAACTTTCACAAGGTACGGAGTCTGTTTCTAGTCCTATATATTAAATTCATTTTTGATTTATTTTTTTTTAGAAATCAAATTTCAAACGCAACACTATCAAGAACAATCATCATTGACACAAGTCTGCTAAAAAAAAAATTAATTTTTTATTTCACAAATGTGTATGTTTTTTCTTATAATAGACTTCATTGGCATCAACTCAATCAAGTACTTCTTCGTCGATAGATAGTGAAACAAACGAGCGAAATTTAAGTCAACAAATTCGTACAACAGATGTGAAAGTAAATTTAATCGATTGTATGAAATGTTATGTACGAATTCCGCGTTGTACGGTAATTATTTTAATTAATAAACAAACAATATAAAGAAACTTTATATTTATTTTTAAATTTAACTTTTAGTTCGAACAACAAGCATGCAATTGTGATGCAAATACGAACAGAGATATGGTCCAAGAAGTAGAAGAATTTCGACAAGAACAAGAACAGGATTCTCCCAAACAAGTGAACAAAAAAGAAAATGAGAATTCACCAACAACTAAATTCATTTATAATATTAGCAATGAAAATGAGATAACTAGTCTTATTGTTATAGATTTACCATGGTCACAAACTTCTCAACCAAATACAGCAGCTGATGTTTAACAATCAAACATTTTTTTTTTACTAAACTTGTTTTTTCAAAAAAAAACTTTCTAAAATTGTGTCGATTTTCACGCAAATAGATATATTTTCATTTGTTTTTTCTGTTTCATTCAGGTTTCTTTTCGTTTTTGATTATTGTATATTTTTGTTTTTCTGTTATATATATATATATATGAATAAAATTGATAGTAGAAAAAAATTTTATATATAAATAAGCTTATTCTTATCAAACTATATAGTAGACGGATAGCTATTACAAAGAGAATGCGAAAAAAAATCAATTCAGACTGTTTTACTAATCAGAGGTCATGTAGCGGTCACTATGTCTATTGAGCAAGAAAAAACAAGTTAATTTCGAGTTTTGTTTTTTATTTTAAAATTTAAAATGTATTACATAGAAAACATCTGAATTAATAAAAACGTATTCTGATATAAAAGAATTTTTATTTGTTGTTCAATATAATTTTTGTATCGGATAAGAGAAGGAAATATACGAAAAAATTCAACTAAAAAAATTAATGAAAATGTTTCCAAAACTTCTTCAGTTGAAGAAATTATTATCGTTAGTTCGTTTTTCTGAGTTTTTTTGGAAACATAAATCGCTTATTTTAAGAAATCAATCATTGAATAGTTATTTTATTTTCATTTTTAAATGTATATCAATCGATCTAGGAATTCAATTGTCTCACAAACATTTATTAATTTGTTTTTGGTGAATGTTCAACATTTTACATGAGGCATCGAGAATATATAATAAATATTGAATTTTCTAAATGAATTCTTTAATTATAATTTTAAGGAAAAAAAATAAAAATAATCCAGGTGAAAACAATTTTAACTTCAGTTATTCAGATGTTTAGAGATATATTTTTAGTCATACAATTGGAAAAAAACATATGTATATGTGTATAATACTATTCGTAGTTTTCAAAAAAATAAGCTTAGAAATTTCAATAATTATGAAGAAAAATAAAACATTTTTGCATTTTTTTTTCGAAGCATTCAAAAGAATTATTATTAAAAAAAAAATACGGAAAATCCATTTGAAAAAAAAAATTTCGAAATGTTTTAATTTTATATTTTCAAAAGATAACAATTAAATCCAGGGAATGAACTATTTGAAAAGAAATGGGTAAATGTCTAGACAGTGACCGTTTCTCTTATTAGTTATATGCGTAGTTTCCTTATTATGAATATATCGTATTTTTTCCATGTGGTTTGTTGTTCTACACTAGTCTAGAATATTCTCTAATTATGAACTGATATTTTTCTTTTCGAATATAATCTTCATTTCGTAAATATTCATCTTCAAGTGAACATCGTCTTCTTCATTAGGTTTGTTATTCTTGTAATTCAAATATATAAATTTCCCCATGATTTTCTTTGACAAAACTAATTTTTTTTTCGATCGAATCTGTTTTTAAGTATAGTAGAATGATATCTCTTCGAAATAAACTCCACTAGAAAAGAAATCGTTTTTTGGGTAAAAAAGAAAAAAATTAATTTATTCACTAATCAATTCGCCAAATACTTTGATATTATTTTAAAATGAATATTTGAATTTTTTTTAAAAGAATTTCTATATTTTTTTAGTTATAATATACATATTAAAATGGAAACAAAATTATTTAAATTAGTATCGAAACGTGCTGCATTAATGCGCGCTCCATATGCTCAATCATCGTGGACAATCAATACCAGTACAATTAAAAAGAAAAAATCAACACCACAAAATAAAACTTTAAAAAGTGTACCAAAAAAGAAAAAGAATAATAATAATAATAATAATAATAATAATATTAATTTATTAAGTAAAAACGTATGTGCAACTCGAAACTAATTTTTTTTAATGTGTTTTCTTTGTAATTGATTTATACTATTTCTTTAAAATATTTAGATAGACATCGATAGCAAAGATCGTAAAGAAAATGTAGATGATGAAACAAATAAAAAAATTTAAAGTAAAAAAGAAAGGATATTTTTTTAATATAGACAAGTATATATATTTTTGAAATTTTTGTTTTCAATATGTATTTGAAGTTCTTTTTTTTCTAATAAACATGTTGTGCCATATATTATGTATGGTTATATTTCAAATGAATAGTATCTTTATTAAATATATTTCTAGTGTCAATAAATTATCATATATGGCTAACAATATTATTATGGTAATTCGTTTTTGGCCTTGAAAATATATTCGTGATATGATTTTCATTTACTTTTAGTGATTATTGTTGATTCAAATATTGTTATTTTTATTCACGACCGGCATGTACAATAATATAAATAACATTTACAGATAATGACACCATAATAAATTGAAATAAAGTATAATACTTTCATAAAATATTATTTAAAATTACATATATACTTCGAAAAAAATATTCGATTTTTTACTGGCGAATATTATGAATTTCTTTTTTGTTTTAGATATTTTTTTTTCACACGTTAATTTATTATTACTTGCTGTGTATTGTATTTACAATGTCGTCTTTACCTACACAACAACAATATGTGAGAAAAAAAAATTAAATATAAAGTATAATCATATAATGTTTTCTTTAGAAAACTTGCATTCAACTTTATATGAAATTGGTTAAATTACTGGAAGTCAACGAGAAAGGAAGAGTAATACGCAACATTTCTTTAATATTCATAATAAATTTTTTTTTCTATCATTTAGCTTATTTTACCTTTTGCTCGTCGTCCGATTCTTATTGATCGTCCCCTCCCCAAAACGTATGAAATGAAAATTATTCAAAGAAAAAAAATTTCTTAGAATTATATTTCTATTACTTTTAATTTTTTTTTCTTTCTAAGGTCTGGTAACAAACATATTGATACATGTTATTTATGTCAGCGTGATCTATATGAACAATCGAAAACAACAACAACAACAACAACACAATCTTATTTATCTGGTGATGAACAAAATTTAAGTGAACATAATACAACATTTGACTCATCATCATTACCCCCCTCCCCATTTGTTTGTGATCCGTATGAATCTTATGATTGGGAATGTTAAAAAAAACTATTTTTTTTGTTTTTTTTTTGTATATATTATATTTGTGTTTTTTTTTTGAAAACTTTGAAAATGTGAACTTTTTTCTTTTTTTGAAAATAAACTATGTGAAATCAAATCGTGAAGTTATTTCGCCGTCTTATATTTCAAAAGGCTTATGCACTCATAGTATACATATTTCTGATGTTTTTTTATATGGAATGAAATATTAAAATAAAACAATATGATAAATTATATATAAGAAAAAAAAATTCAGCTAACTGTACCATTCCATAGAATTATAAAACTTTATTTGTAAATAAATGAAAAAAAAAAAAAAGAAATACAGAATTTTATAATAAAATTTTAGAAATCAAGAGAAAAATTATAAATAAAAAAAAATGGAATAGTATTAAATAATTTTGTATTTGATTTGAATGAATTAGTTAAGGAATACTAAACAAATATTAATCATTTTTTTTTCTAAATAATCAAAATAATTGCACTTAAATGATAAGAGTTAAAGTTAGAAAAAAAAAGAAAACTTTCGATTTTTATTTCGAAAACAAATTTCGAAATTTTTTTATGCATTATAAGCTGAATTTCTGAAAACAAAATCAGGAATAATGTGGAAATGATAAAATATTGTATATTCATAGATGAAAAAAGTAGAAACTAAAAGTAAACAAATGAAAAAAATTAGAAATATGACTTGCAAATTTTTTTCTCTTACACGACACAAAAAGTAATAAAAAATTGCATAAATATTTTGAAAAAAATTATAAAAAGAAAATTACGTGGAAAAATATTGAATTCAATATGAATATATGAGTTACGCCGCGGTATGTCCTGTGACAATTCATACATCGACTATGTCCTAGTCATCGTAATCGTATCATCTATAATGGAATACGCCGTCGTATGTCCTGTGACAATTCATACATCGACTATGTCCTAGTCATCATTATCGTATCATATATGTAATGGAATACGCCGTCGCATGTCCTTCGACTGATTCACACTATGTGTTTATAGTGTTGTATGCATCGGGACAGTTCACTTGGCATCGCCTTGCCTATAAATAGACCGAAATTTCTCATTTTGAATTCATTCGAAGATTAACACAACAGCGATCACATCAATTCAATTTCTTCATTAACAACTGCAATAACAACAGCAATTACTTACAATATATAGAATAACGTTAGTTTCTTTTTTTTTTCATATATATTTGTATACATTGTTTCATTATATTATGATACAATGTTGTAAGCTTATATATATATACATATATATATTATATATATGAAATACTTTACAATATAGTTTTTTTTTTATATATAGATTTAATTTTTTTTTAGATTTAATTTGAAAACAATATGAATATTCAAAAAGAAAAAAATACAATGAACAATTCAACATCCACTACAAATAAAGAAGTAATTTTATATAAATGTTTTTTTTTTATAGAAAAATTATCTTTTTTTTCAGATACAGCAAATAGAAGAACATGCAATGCTTCCGAATAATGAACAACAATCTTTTTCAGCAATTATGGAATATCAATATGGGCAACAATCTCATTATTTTGGACTTGAACAGTTAGCTCGACACATACAAGGAAAAGAATTATTTGAAGAACTTGAAGATGAATTATGGAATGAATTAGAAAAACTCGAACAAAATGAAGAAAAACAAAAAGAGAAAAAACGAAAATGGCAAGAACTTTGTTTAGACTTATTTGAATTAGATGATGAATTTAATGAAGAATATATGCAACATCAAATACAAAATACACCTGTTGAAAATATGGAAGATGAACAAGAATGGAATGTGGAGCCATCTTCAATTCAACATAAAGAAAAAATAAAAGAAGATGTTACATTTGGACCACCTGGCTTTGTTGAAGCATTTGAACATTTTGGTGTATATGAACATCGCAATTAATTATGTTTCATAAAAACTAAGTAAAAAAATTTTTTTTGTTAAAAACTGAATGCTATAAAAGAAAACTTGTATGATTTCAATTGTGTTAGTTTCTTTTTTTTTGTATCTTTTTCTAGTTCTACTATTCATTAGTGATATTCTTTTTTTTTCATCATTATTTCATTATTGGAAACTTTTGTTTTTTATTCTAGATAAAATATTTAAAATGAATATAGAAAACTCGAAAACTCCAAGTCAAGATGCACAAGGTCGATGGTATGAATTATTATCACCAACACAAGTGCTTACAGGACAAGAACCATCACATATGGGTGAACAATCTAAAAAAAAGAAAAAATGCCGTGGTGATCGAAAAGGCCAACGTCGACGTCGACGACTTCGACAAAAAGGTATATATGTGGAAACAATACCAAAAAATGGTGATCAAGAACTTAATGTTCAACAACTTGAAGAAAATGATCAAATAATCCAAGAACATGTTACAGAAAATATGGAAGTGAATGAATCCTGTGATCAAGTAATTTTTTTGTCGAATTTTTTTTTTAAATACTTATCTACTGATTTAGATTCCTCCTTCAACACAAAATAAAATTCAACACAATGATAATAAAATAAAAAAATCAACAAAACGTAAAAGAAAAGCTGTATCAACACGAGCACCACCGACTAGAATTCATGAATCTTTAAGTCAATTAAGTATTTCTCCACCATCACCAAAAAAACAAAAAATAATAAATAATGAAGTGGAAGAAGCAACTACCAATGGACCATCACAAATCAAAGGTTCAAAATGTAAAAAAGAAAAGAATCTTCATAATGACTCTAATTATGTACCTGACTATTTAAAAGTATCGAATCGTGTATTAAAACAAATGTTAATTAGTTCATTTGACAATGCGAAAGATATTGTTAAACGATTAAATTCAAAAGAAAAAATTAATTATATTCGTCAATATACTTGCCTCATACATCGTCTATTATATGTACAATTACAAGAAAGTCAATGGAAATATTATTATGATATTGGCGTACAAGAAAATATTTGGACAGGACGTGTATCAAAAAAATGGGCTGCTATGAATAGTATGAATTACACTTATGGTCGATCAAAACATTTAATTTTACAACGTCTTAAAAAAATACAACAACAACTTCAACAATCTTCCGAAGCTTTACAAAACTTTGGCAATCAACCATTACCTCGATGTTTATCAGATATGAATCCTCCATTAGATTTTACAAAAATGTCTGCCATGGTTACCGCTCTTGTACGAAAAGGTCAACATAAATTAACACAACAATTTGAACATAATAAAAAAATGTTAATATTAGAATCAACTGACCATCGACTTGTTAAAAATGTTCATGATTTAAAACCTAATAAACAACAAATTCGTTCAATTCGTAATATATGGAAAGCAATTTATAATAAAAAACAAATGGAAGAACAAATTGAAATATTAAAACATCGTATTCATTCCAACTGTTTACCACCAGCTTTCAATCTTCTTGATTATTCACTTAATAAAATTGATAAAATACTTACTAGATCCAAACAAGACTGCACGAATGATAATGATAGCAAACAAAAAACTATATTAGCTGCTCGACGATTAAAAAAAATTGGTCGATTTAAATATGATTTACTTGAATTAAGTATTGCAGCTGGTGAACAAAAAGTTAGATATTATGATAAAATAGCGAAAAAAGAAAAAAAGAAATTAATCACAATGAGTGAAAAACTTAAGAAAAATAATACCAATTCAGATATGTTCAAGCAATTAATCGAAGCTATAGATGCTCGTGAAAAACACATGATTCTACGAGCTGATTATATTACAAAACAAAAATTAAAATCTTTTTTCGACGAAGCTCCGGCGTCACAAGACGATATCATGAACAACGATGGCGTCGGAGCAAATTAACCTTAAATCTGCGAAATCATACAAGTATGCTTCTTAGTTTATATTTTGTCAATACTCTTATACCATTTTCAAATGAACAATTACTTATTATTAATAAAGGTTTAAAATATATTCCACCATGCCAAAGTTATTTTTATTATCGACAACCTATAGAAAAAATTATTGAACGAGAATATAAACGCCTTCATGGTGAAAATGTTAAAAATCTTACCGATTATATTTTTCCAACTGATGATACACGTGCTCTCGAATATTTCAATGAAATAAAAAATTTACTTGAACAATTATACACGAAACCATTACCAACAAAATTAAAACGACATGCACGATATATGTACAATTTGATAAAGTTAATGCAGCGTAAATTACGAAAAGCGAATATTGCTGTTGGTCAAACGGATAAAAGTAAACTCTTCTTTTTTATTGATGCAAAAGAATATGAAGAAAAAATTACTACTTATATGAACAAAACCAATGCTTATGAAGAAATTACCAGTGGTATTTGTCCATTAGCAAATGATTTACATTTAGTAATATTAGTACTTGATTATTTACTTGAACGGAATCAAATTACCAAAGAACAACGAAAAGAAATGTATCCAAATGTAAAAACATTAGAATTAGCTCATATTTACTTTAATCTTAAAGTACATAAGGTAAAATAATTGTTATCTTTTTTTTCTGATTATTGTTCTATTTTTTTATTTTTTTATAGCCTGAAATGTCAGTTCGACCTATTGTTGCTTCAATTAATGCACCAGCTAGAAAAATTTCAGCTTTTCTTGATGAACTTCTTACGCCAACTTATAATTATGTTACCAAAGATATTACTTTCATCAATGGCGTCGATGTGATACGAAAATTAAAAGACTATCAAGAACATGGTCATCTGACTTCAACAACATTATTTGTTATATTTGATGTGGCTGATTTATATACAATGATACCACGTGAGGGTGCTATAGCTGCTTTAACTCGATTTTGTAAAAAATATTCTGTTCATGGAAAAATTGGAAATGTGAACATAGATACTATTATTCAATTAGCATGTGTTGTTTTAGATACCAATTCATTTGCTTATAGAAATAAATATTATCGACAAATTAAAGGTGGAGCTATGGGTTCACCATTTACTATGGTTTTAGCTAATATTTATATGTTAGAATGGGAACAAAAATTAATTCAACATCAACAACAATATCATGAAATATATGGAAGGTAAGTTTATAGTCAAACACGAATGATTTTTTTAAAACTTATATTTGTTTTCATTTTAAGATATATTGATGATGTGTTTATGACCACTAATTTATCCCAAGAAGAAATTTTGAAAGAAATTGATAAAACAACTGTTACAGATTCAAATATTAAAATTACTACTTCAATTAATCAAGCATTACAATATCTTGATGTTACAATTGAAAATGATAATGGTCATTTAAGAACATCTATTTATCATAAATCTGCTTGTGAACCCTATATTCTACCTTATGAATCTGATCATCCAAGACACGTTCATGCCAATATAATTTCTACTGCATTAGTTCGAGCAGCACGTCTTTGTTCAACTGTTGAAGATTTTGATATGGAACGATTAAGTTTGGAAATGATATTATTAGTCAATGGTTATCCACCACAATTTATACAGAGACATATGAAAAGTTTCTTTATTAAATATGATGCTATGAATGTGTGGACTGAATTAACAGGTGAATTATATCAGCAACTCCATCATACATTACTTTACAAAGAAACAAGAAGAGAACTGGAAATGAAAAACCAAATTCAAGATAATTTAATTTTAAAGAAAAAAAAATATGAACATAAAGATGAAATTTATCTTCATTATACATTTGAAAATGGACCATTATTAAATTTCAAAAAACAATATCGTCAAATATGGGAAAAATATTATGTTTATCCAGGATCACGTTTGAAAAATACACGACTCATTCTTGGAACAATATTAAATCGAACATTACAAAGTCTTTTGATTCATAAAAAACCTAAACGTGATATGCTACGGAAAATGCAACCAACTACAGAAACAGCTCGTAGAACAATAAACAAAATATTGACTCATTGATGTACGTTTCTTTTTTTTTGTTCATGAAAGCTATTACAACTATTTCTTTCTTGTTAGAACTGTGGTTCACCGTTTTTTTCCTTTGTTTTTTTTGTTCACATACGCTTTTTTTGTAGTATCACTATATCGTATTATTCGATAAGCATTGTGTTTCTAAATTTTTCACTTCTGTACCTTATCTATAACACTTGGTATATGAGAATTTATTTCATTACCGGAATCTTCATATGTTACATTATACTATGAATTCTAAAATTCAACCAGTTGATACTTGTTTTTTTTATGTTTATTTTCTTTTATATACTTTGTAAATCTTCAACTTCAACTTTGAAATAACTCCTTGTATTATGTCTTCTAGATATATTCCTCACAATACTATGTCAACTAACCATATCTTTCAAGAAGAAAAAATTGTATTGGAAAATTCTTTGTAAGTATCTCATATTGTTTCTTTGTAAAGTAATTTATGATGTAGTTGTTGATATAATTCACTAGTTAATTCAGTCCACACATTTATAGCATCATATTGAATAAAGAAGCTTTTTATGTGTCTTTGTAGAAAT